TAATTTTTATTTCAGGTTGTGTCCAGTGCCATTGTAGACAAGTACATTGGTGAGTCTGCCCGTCTCATCCGAGAAATGTTCAACTATGCACGTGACCATCAACCTTGCATTATATTCATGGACGAGATTGATGCCATTGGTGGGAGAAGATTCTCTGAGGGTACATCAGCTGATCGTGAAATCCAGAGAACTTTGATGGAGTTGCTAAATCAAATGGACGGATTTGATTCTCTCGGCCAGGTTTGTGCTTCAATGCTTGCCCCCAAAAACATGGTTACAGTTGATCTTATTTTTTCTGTTCTTGGTTTAATCGGTACATTTTCTTTGGAGATGGATGAAGTAGATCACAAAGTAAGCTCTGTAAATGGTATGAGAAAATACATAATATAAGTGTTTCCTTTTTTTTCTTGTTTTAGTATATCTGCAGCATCATAGTTTATTAGAAAGATCACTGTTGATAACATCATCATTCGAGATGTTCTATAGTAATTACATTAAGCTATCTCCTAAATTCAGTGAATAGTTAGATTCAATGATAACCTCTCGACTTACTGTCCATCATGTGGTAAAGGTATGAATGAGAACGAATAGCTTCACAATACAAGGGATGTATTTTACCGGTTTCGATTATATCTTTGTCAGAAATAGATGTATTTCTGACGAAGATATAATCGAAACAGGTAAAATACATCTCTTGTATTGTGAAGATATTTGTTCTCATTCATACCTTTTCCACATTTGTCAACATGAATACGGTTCATTTCTGTCCATCAGTTCAGCAACTGTGTAAAAATTGAAATTGCGGTATGTTACCAATTTTGCTGTCATTTATTTTTGAGTGTGTGAAGGACATGTTGCTTAAACCTATATTAATGATATATTGCTCCAATAGGGGATTCTATCTTTTAAAAGTTACCATTTATCTACATTTGTCCCAATCATGAGAAAATCTTCCCTAATCTAACCAGATACAGACTAGCTTCTAACACACATCCTTTTTATTGTATTTTGATTTTTGATAGAGACAAGATCCTTAATTGCCCTTTGAGGACCTTGACCATCTGAGACTTAGGGTTGCATTAATTCAAACAGTCTAAATATACTGAGTTGAAATTAATCAAAATAGATCTATTGTAATGAGATGAATCAAAATAGATTTACTGTGTATATGTAGTAGTTTTGCAGATGGAAATATTTGTTGATGAACCAATCTATTGACTCTATTACATAATTTCAGGTCAAGATGATTATGGCCACCAATCGCCCCGACACCCTTGACCCTGCTCTCCTGCGTCCTGGCCGTCTGGATAGGAAGATTGAAATTGCTCTCCCCAATGAGCAAGCCAGGTTGGAGATCTTGAAAATCCACTCTGGTCCAATCACAAAACGTGGAGAGATTGGTAATTTCCAAATGAATTTTATGCAGTACATGTAACTAGATAATAAAATTTTTGGTTATGAGTCTGAGTATAGGTTTTTGCTGGTCTTTTTTTTTTTCTTCTTCCTATTCATTATATTATTTTATTGGTTTTTGTCATTGTTTTTTTCTTGTAATTCATATGATTATTGTAAAAATGCGTTCCCCCCCAGATTATGAAGCTGTTGTGAAACTGTCTGATGGCTTCAATGGTGCTGATCTCCGGAACGTTTGCACAGAAGCAGGTCTCTTTGCCATCCGCAATGAGCGCGACTATGTTATAGAGGAGGACTTTATGAAGGCTGTACGCAAGGTTTCCGACAACAAGAAGTTGGAGACTAAATTAGATTACAAGCCTATCTAATCCAGTAATGTAAGAATGCTGAAGTGTGTATACGTGGTATATGCTAGCCTTTCTGTGACCACTTATCTATTTCTGTATAAGATGTTATTCCTGAAATATTTCTAAAGTCATAGGGTTCTAGGGATTTTTGTTTTTTTGTTTTTTTCAACTCAAGTTGTTTTAAATTGAGACTGAAAAAAGTTATAAATGCTAATGAAAATCTTTCACGCACATAAATGTTTTGTGGTGAAAGATCCCGACTTCATATAGAAGTTATATATAGGAATAAATGTGCTCATATTTTAATATTTAACTATCTTTTCGGCTTATGAAACTTGTACATGTAGAAATGGAAGTAAACTTTTTTTTTTGTATAAAGTATTTTCTTCTCCTTCCAAGATGATAAAAGAGTTCAGTATTTTTTAGGAGCATCAGAAAAAATATAAACTGAATAAAAATATTGTAATTCTGTCAAAACGAAGTAAGATGAAGTTTATGGCCATACATAAAAAAATTTGATAGCTTTTTGCTTCCATTTAACAAAGATATTTCGCCTGGACCCAACAGGGTGGAGGGACCATTTGAATCTAAAGTCTACATAAGTTTTTTAAATATTACAAAGGAGGAATGGTTTGTAATATACATGATTTTATGATCTAAAAAGGTAAATAAATATCAAGGAACATGGTGTTTTATGCCTATCTGGTAACTATTAAAACCTTCACTAGGTTTTTGGAATATTAGAACTGGCCTGCCTTACCTGCTTTGTAATGGCTGTACCATTAGGCCAATAGCATTGTGCTGTTTTGGATTACATATAATGTTTCATACATATTGTGCGTTGATTTTTTTTCTTTTCCCTTGAGTACATCACAATATGGCATTTGCCTTTAGATAAATAACGAAGGAAAAAGAAAGGCAGATCTCTTTAACAGTTCATGGCTGTTTAGACTTTAATGCATTAACAAATATCAACTTTCACAGTGTGATATCCATTACTGCAGTTACTGGTGAGCATTTTAATATAAATTTTTTAAATATAGGTTGGATTATTACTCTAAAAAAAATTTGCTTTTGTGGACTAGTAATGGTGGCTATGACTGGGAATGGTAGTATGTATGATGAAATGAAAAGTCAACTTAAATGTTATTTGTCAGAAATATTTGGTGTCAATAGGAATGGCAGCATCAACATAACTTTATCATACACAAGACGAGTTATATGGAAATCAAAGGAAAAAATTGCGAATGCATGTGATACAGATGTGATGATACTCTCTGGCAACTAGTACAGTGTCTTCATTTAATAGATATTTCCTTTCCCAAAACCACAAAGTATTTTATAGTCTTTTTTTTTTTTTTTTTTTTTTTTTTTTTTTTTTTTTTTGTTCTGTGTATGTAAAGAGACTGATCCCCTGATTACAAAGAAATATTCTGTGGAATTTTTTTTTTCTGGACAAACAAATCCAACACAACTATGCAAATTAAGTTTCCTAGTATGCTAACAGCAATAATTTGGAACTCTAAGCAAAGTCAATGGCTTTCCTCGTGATGGGATGGCAAGAATGCATGCCATGTCTGCTACGTCTTTTTGTTTGCTGATTGTCCTTACACACCGATGGCTCCACAAGGGCTTAATCAACAGAGTCAGTTACTAGTCCTACCTAGCTCACCAATTTACCCTTTTCCTTGATTTTTTTTTTTTTTTTTTTTTTTTTTTTTTTTATTCCTAATAATAGTTAATATTATTATAAGCACAATGATGATAATATCTATATGAGTGGCTTTAAGAAAATATTTTTCCCCCCTAAAAACTAAAGGAAGGGCACCCCCAATCCCTTGCTCGTTATTGTCGTTGGGTGCCAAAGAGACAGACCGAGGTCTAAGGTAGGGGATCATCCCTGCTTTGGACTTCAGTCCTTGCCTCAACTAATTTTGCAGGGTCTTTTCTTCTCCCCTATTCTTTTTCCTTCTCATCTTCATCCCCTTCTTCTGTGCACATCCTGAAGTGTAAGAGGGATGAAAGGCTGGCTTTGTGTCAGTCCTGAATGGCATTTGTACTCAGTTTGCTCTTCCCTTTACCCTTTTCACTGCTAAATTTTATCCTAATCATTAACTAATTTTTAACCTTTTCGCCACAATACTTTATCATATTGCAGTATGACCTTTGATGTATTGTTATATTTTGAATATGCCGCTAATTCCTTGGATGTTAATCTGGCAGAAATTTTTCAATAAATAAATCAATCAAGGAAAGGAGAAATCAGCTTAGGACACATAGGCTTACTAATTGGCTCCTTGGTAGCCGAGCACTTGTGAAGCCATTCACAAAAGTACATGACAGTAGACCATGTTAATTACTCGGCACCACTGGGTTAAGATCTAAATCCTGGGCTTGACTCTCTACCTGGCCTTTCCGAAAATAAATGCTAAGTCCTAACCATTCTGGGTATCCCTGCACATGGAAGAAAAAAATAAAAAAATATATCAATGAAGGCCCAAGAAAGTGTTTCACCTAGTCAAGGAATCGCAAATGGCATAATGGACTGTCCATGCCCAGGCTTTTAGCCCTTACCAGAGTTCTATATTCAGACCTTTATTTGCATGGAGAATGAAAAACACTTTTATGTACTATAATACCCAAATGTTTTAATTCTATCCATTCCATTTTGGATGATTTGGCTTTTTTTTTTTTTCTTTTTCTTTTAGCAGGGATGATTTTTGCCATATTCTGCCCAGTGTGCCACACACCTGAACAACAAAAGCCTTACTTTGTCCTTTAATTCTTAAGTTGTCTATGATTGGATTTTCATTTATGCAGTAGGGAATTTTAAATAATCGATCCATTAGCTCCTACCTTGTCAAAAAAAATGGTCTTGTCTAAGAAAAAGAAAAAAATTGCAGCACCTGATTGTCCTTAGAAAAAGTCAGAAAACACTTGTGTGACTGCAAATATTTTTTTCAAGCTTAATTAATTATGTCTTGGATGTGCAATGCCTCTAGAAAGCAGGTTCTGTTTCTGCTAATGGTTCTTTTTCATATACAAAATTGTTACCCAAATAAAAGGTATAGTTTTTAATTCCATTTTCAATCCAAGTTATTTTATCTACAAGATTTACAGCAAGGACTTTTTTTATGAAATTAGAAAAGTGAAAAGAAAAAAAAACTTCCAACTTTGAACTTTTTTTCCCGTATGTTCTTGAATTCAATCTTTTTCAGGAAAATGAAAGTTTGTATCAAGTGAAGACTTACTGTGTTGTAATTGATTATGAACCATAATCAAAGAACTGTTTCATAAAAAATAACAGATTTCTATTTTTCATATTAAAAATTAAAAAATTAAACAAAAATATTTACAAACACTACTTGGTTCTTAAACAAACTTGATAACATTCCCTCAATTTATGCAACATTCTGAACAGCATCACTGCTACTTGTGTCCTCTCTTCTGCCTTCTTGCTGTTTTTCTTCCTGATTTAAAGTGCATTTGTCACTGATGACTTCAGTACACTCCTCTTTACTTTTGTCTTTCTCTAATTCATTAGGACACTCAGAGCTATCTGTCGGTAAGTTTCTCTGTTCACTATGAGAGGTTTCTGCTACTGGCATGTCAGTGCTACAAGAGGCTGCTTTCCCTGAGGCACCATCCTGAGGCCCGCTGGTTTTGGTTTGAGACTCCGTCAGTCTGTATCCGAGACCTTGTCCTCGCTTGTCTCGTGGGAAGAGGCACTTCATGTTAGCTCTCTCCTCTTTGGTCATGTGCGAGGCTTGGAAAAACTTCTCTCTGAACTTCGCTGTTAGGTCTGTCACTGTGGCTGTGGCAGTTTCCCCTTCCTTGAAAGAAAAGAATATTATCATATTTGGGTATCCAAATGGTGTTAAAGAAAAATATAAAAACTGGAAAATATACAACTTTTCATTGTGAATATGAAAGAGCAATGGTTCTTGAAGTTACAGATGATATATACATCATAAAATCACATCCAGAAATATACAAAACAGTCTGTATATATGAATATGTGTAATGAAATGCTTGTAAAATCAAGCATCCCCAGAATGATTAAGATAAAAGCAAACACATGAGCTGGGATATGAGGGCCCAGGGGTAGACACAAGACAGATGTGGGAGGGAATGAAGGAGGGCTGGAAGAATCTAATTTGATCAGAAAAGTCAGCAAGATGATGTGCCTAGGAAGCAGCAAGGTGGCCATCCGTATACAGCATTAAGAAGGCAGAGGTCATGTTTTCCACTAATTACTTGTAGATTTTAGTCATCTATTATGAATATCCTTATATTTCTAAACATATAAAGCTTAGTGAAGGAATGATTTGTGGACCGTATTACATGCATGAATTACATGAAGGAGAAAAAGAACTTTTTAAATATATCCCTCCATGGGGGAAAGACATACAGAGAGACACTGGTGTGTACAACCACATATCACTACAATTAAGGACTGGACAATTAGCAGGTTAGCCAGCCAAAGAACAATATTAACACCAAAGATGGTGGTACACATGAGCTGTAGCATTCGTCTTCCTGACTGCTGAGCAAACCAGGTTCATCCAGCCCTCATTCACTTCACATCTCTCTCATGTCTCACTTGTCTTCACTTCGGGCCTCATTCACTCTAATCTCAACCATTATGGGGATGCTTCATTTGACTGCCATGTTTAAGGATGTATGTGTACTCATGTATCAAGGCATGCATATACATAGGCAGAAATACTCAATGAGTATTGATGTATGTGTGATCATATACATGCTTGTATGATAATTTGTGTGAATGTATGTAGGTGTTAAAGTACTTGTAGATATTTGTACATGACTGTGTATGTATGTTTGTGTATACATGTGTGCGTGAGTAAAGAAGTAAGTTTATGCTATGTACTTTTTATTTCATCTTTCCCAAACATTTAAATCTACATTTTCATGACTGCAACAACAAAAATGAAAAAATACAAACTGAATACAATTACCTTAAAACAGTCTTATTACCAAAAAAGAAATAGAAACCAAATGAGTACAATGTCATTACGGATCAAGAGGACATTGCAGTGTGGGCAAACAAACCTCTGGATGTCTCGTCTTGCGTAAGGTGATAAGCCTTCTGCTGGAATGTACAGTGAGAACTTGCTCACAGTTGGATACAAGTTCCATACATGGATGACTAGGAACCAACCCCTCATGGTAATCTTCTCTATAAAGATAAGTTTACCATTAGTAAAACTGGTGAACTACATATTTTTTTTTATATGTTATTGCCAGTGTTTAAATCATATTTTGATTCCTCACCTCCTAAATTCAGTGTTTTAAAAGCCCCTATATCAATGTAACATACCTAAACACAGGCAACCAAAAGACAAGCCTGCCTCCTATCACCATATGGGTTGCGGCAAAATTGATGAGATCGCGGAACACATCCGAGAGGCTGTACGAAATCTTGGATGGGAAGTGCTGTGCTGCTGGAACCTGCTGCTTGGCCCCCTCCTCATTCACCTTTAGATTCTTGAATGTCCCAACTCGCTCTGTTGATTCTCGGATCCCATAAGGTGCTGGAAATTAATAAAGGATAATTATGAACTGTATCTGTTCAGTGTGATTAGTTGTTTTGTTCTTTTAATTCCTTATCATATAAAAAGCTGTAAGCTGCAGTATATTTTAGGAAAACTTTTCTTTATTTTCTAATTAATAATTTTTTTGTTTATAATAACAGCTATCACACCCATTAAGACAGAAACTATGACGTCTTACGATCTGTTATGATTGCATCAACATACGGAGCTCCTCTCCAAAACGGCCTTGCATTATCCATGACAACAACATCCATATACTGGTTTTCTAATCCATACTGTTTCAAATTGCTACGTATTGATTCTTCAGCAGCACGTTGTTTCTGCGAACAATAACTTCTGTTAAGAATCTTCATAGTGCTTTAGCAGAATATTTATTTATTCCAAATACCCAAATAAAGAAAAAGTATACGTAATTTTACTATGACAATGCCATGACATACCTGACTATGTCGAGTGGGTTTTGTTCTTGCATGTAGTGTGAGGTAGTCTATATCCCAGCCCCAAACATATGCCCCTCGATGTGCAGCCGCAACTAACACAGAACCTAAAAAAAGAGGAAAAAATAAATGAATACATCTCAAAAGGTAAGCATAAGTAATGAGAGGACTAACGACCAACATCTCAAATATCAGTTATATACAGGAAATCCAGCCATTGTGGTAAAAAAATAGATGAAAAGAAAATGCCAGTAAAAAGCTAGAATTAAGTATATAAAAAAATCACAACCCAGTATTACCAAATAGAATTAATACAGTGAAATCATATAAATAGTAAAATTGGTAAGACAAATAATGATAATAAAGCACACTAAAACCCAATCTCACCGGTGCCCACAAATGGATCTACCACCACCTCCCCTGCCTGGACTTGCGCAAAATTTGCCATGATGAAGGAGAGCTGCGGATCCATGGACGTACTCCCAATATAGGTCCGTTTCTTAAGGGAAAACTTATCTATGAGTTCCCTCTGCCCATCTGTGATCCATCTTCCAAAGAATATCTTGGTTACAAAAAAAGAAAGAAAAAAAAGACGGAGGATTAAAGAATGATATATATGAAACATAAGTTTAATGGGTATATATAATAAATGAGATGATTCATATAACTTGAAAAAAAGAGAGAACAGTATAATAATAGAGTCACCACAGCATATGAGGTCACCTATATTACATGTAAATGGATATATACAATAAATAAGATAATTCAATGAATATCAATTTCCAAAAACTCTTGTCTTTTGCATAACCTAGAGCAGTAGATACACCAAAGATAAAAGTATATCCTGAAAAAGAATGAAACTAGGTATTTTCGCCTTCAAATAAAATTCATCTTACAGAAATTGAACCTATTTGATGTTGATAATTATCTCATATTCATATTTATGCAGGGCCCAATAGACCAAATACAAAGTCTTTACTTACTTTATAGGGCTTTTCTGGTACAATATTTGGGTGTAGACCATAGTACTCAATCAGGTGTAGGCAAGTGTCTGCATTTCTCAAATTCACATTCCCCTCAAAGGGTAAGTAACTGAAAGACTATACAAGATAAAAATCTAAGCATTATGAATGTGCAGAACACTATATAATATCATATATATACACTTAAGAGGTTAATCTTCAGCTTTGGTAACAATTCTATAACATTTTCAATAGAAAACAGAATTGTGTATGTATAGAAATGCACACATACACGCACACACAACATACAAATACATAAATATGCTGCCCTTAAACACAAACACTCACGCAAGTAATAGCAACATAAAGAACATGACTGATGATACAACTAAACAATATAGCTTTTTTCAATGAATAGGTGACAGTTTTTCAGTGAAGGAATAAATGAGTGATGAAGCATCACTCACCTCTATTTTCTTGAGCTTCTCGGTCTTTTGAAATTGAAGGTCTCCACCCTGACTTTGAATGTCTTGTCTCGGGTGATGTGTGGCTGGATGAACTCGAGTGGAAAACTCTTACACATGAGCTCTTCTCGGTCTACTGGCCCTAGATGATCACATTCTAGTACTCTTCATTTTCTTCTGTCTATCTATGTCTGTTTACTTTTGCAATATCAAAGGCATCCCAGTCTTTATTTCATACCTTTAAATTCTTTTTCCACTTCTACTCCTAACATATTCTTAAACAACAACAACAACAACAACAAAACAACAAAAAACATACAAATAAACTTACCATATTTCATAGCATGATCTCACCAGCATACTTCGAGACATGAGTTTCCTTGCTTCCTTTTCGCAACCCATTTCTACAATAACATAAGGCTGAAAGATATGAAAACAGAAAGAAAAGTAACTTCAGAGCTGAGATATGAAAATGATAATGATGGTAGAGAAAAATAGATACATATTAGCCATGATAAAAGAAAAAAAATCAACTTTGGAGTCATATACAGAACATGGAAAAAATAAATGGGTGATTTTTTTTTTTTTTTTTATCAATAAGAGTTAGTAATGAACACTGTTTTTTTTTTTTCAGAACACTAAACTGAGTCCAGGTTGTGCTTCTTGCAATAGTTTAATCAATCTATTTCCTACATGTCAAACAGCTATCATTAGATTGTCAAATTCTACGGTTGGTTGGACTATAGGAACCACAGCACTTTTTCAACTGGTTTTAGCTAACATTAACAAATTTCAATCATT